GTGAGTGTATTCCACGAAGACTTGTCCTGTTGGAAGCTGAAGAATTTTCTGTCCACGGATATGCGTTGGCTGAAAAGGCGAATGAATGCTCGACTTGGGATTATTTCAAACGTCTCTCCCAGGGTTGCGGAACGGCACCTTTCCAGAAATAAGAGTGCGAACGTCTTTCTGGTTCCTGATCCGGGACATACACGATGCAAAAATGGAAAATCTTCTATGTTCTCGCCAAGTCCTCGGGTGGGATCAAACCACCATCTCTCCCCTACTCCCTGAAGCATCGTGTTTTACAGGCGCGGGGCGAGTTTTCCATACAAACCCAGAAGGACTTCATTGTGATGCTGTTAATTTGACTTCATTCCCACCTTCGAGAGCCTACCAGCCAATTCAACTACATTCTTAGCCTGCAATTCTGCCTACGTACGATCGGTTTCTGTTCGCATGTCTTTGGGTGGACTCGAACCACTTCTCCGGAAACGAATTTCCAACGCACCTACTAATCGGGAGTGAGACTCGATCCTCTACAAAGACCTATTCCTTGAACGAGGACCCTCTTATTAACCCCCACATTATTATGTACCCGAAAAGTACATCAGGATAGTATAATAGCTCACGTAAACACATTGAACTATGGAAGATACGTCCAGTTCAGAATTGGTCAGCGCACCTCAAATTTTCTCTGCCACAGAAATCGGATCGTTAATGAGAGTTATCCAAGCCTCAAATCAGCCCCTACAAGTCTTCGTGGAGTAATCTATTAGGAAACTAACTCACTCCCTACATCTATAAGATTGCTTCAAAACTTGCATGGGAGAGATGGCGGTTCGAGCCCGCCCGAAGGCATAACGCAGAATGTGTCCATTTCGCTTCTCGTGGGCACGCGTCGCCGGTTGGTGCCTACATTTTTTCTGACCGAATTCAGTATGAAGGCAGGATCAAATGATTAAGAGGAAATAAACAAGTAAGGCGATCCTTGCGAACACGGAGGGCGGCCAGGATAATGGCGCATCGAGCATCTGCCTCGCGGCGCATTAGCTTCATCCGGCATCCAACCCCTGCAAGCCGAGAAAGTCCTGTCCGCTGCGCCCGCACGAAACAAGTCGGGACCACAGAAGTCCGTGTGATGACGTGTTCAAGCAGTAGGGACAGCTTGAAAATGGAACCCGGCCTTACGGCGTTGGCCTACACTGATCAATAAGCAAAGGGATAATTTTAAGACCAGGTGCCAATATTTGAGGGGAATCACATAAAGAAAGCGCAGAGATTCCGTACTGGTTGGTTCCACGGCCGGAGCGTGTTCGTGCTGTAGAGGATAGCATAAGAAAGACTCTGAAATAGGCATGGTAAGTCTTCGTGGAGTAACCCGTAAACTTACTCCCCACCTTCTTGACACTTGCGGTGGCATTGCACGGGAAAGTTGGTGGTTCGAGCCCACCCGAAGACGTATGGCGGAGGTTTCTTATCTTTTTGTCTTGTTATACCCAACTGACCAAATGGAAGAATCAATGTGGACTCTGCGTTGAAGAGCCAATTGATCATGACATGCGAGAAGATAAGAATAGTCGATTCCGAGTTCCAGGGTAGCGAAAAAAAACGGAGTAGCAAAATAAAATAGCAATCAGCGGATAAACACACCGGATGCCGTGGGGATCACGGGAGTGAGTACAGCCTGAGAAACCAGAAATTTGGAAACAGCAGCATTTTGAGTGAGTTAGGACAGCGGTGGGTGGGAGGCAGTGCGAAATTCGAAGCAGCGCCGAGTGACACAGAGGGTCACAAACCAGCACCCCCGAAGCCGCCAAGAAGAGTGCGAACTCCACGGTGCAAGATGCCGAACCGTGTCCACGAATTTCAAGCCGCATTCGAACCAGGGACGGAATTGAGGCTATCCACTTGAAATGCATAAGCGATCCCTAACGCATCTGGATCGCGACAGTAAGGCGCATATGCATCCCGAAGTTGTAGTCAAGGTCGAACTAGAAGTCGGATCCAGCGCGCAGAATACGTCCGCGGCAGGTAGCTGGGCATCCGACGGACTGAGTCGGTGGCATCCGAGTAACCGAGTTGTCTGGGTGAAGTCAGCCGGCGATTAGCCCGAGGAGCTGTCTAAGACCAGCGCAATTCATTTCGTGGGATGCGGGGTGGGATGTTCAGAGGCCGCACGAGTGGCGAAAGAGCTGGTCGCAGAAGGAGAAAAAAAGCGATGCGGCGATGCGGGCCGGTCTTGCGGCGATCAAACAGGCACGTGGTTGAAGGTTTGAGATGCCGAGATCAATTCCCTGCTTGCTTCCAACGGCGATGTGCGTCTCCATACCACTCTTTTGTCGGGCGCAAACACCTCCTTGCTCGCAATTATTCCGCCCCACAGGTATCTGACTCGTTTTCCGGGGGAAATCCACTTGATGAGTCGCCCACCCCTTTCTCGTTCTCCAGATTACAGAAATCCCATGCCATAATTTCTTTGTCCACTCATCTTTAATGGTCCGCCCTCCATTCTGGCTCAGAGACGGCCCTTCTACCTGCTCGGGTTCCTATAATTGGCTTGTCTTCCGACGTTCCTCGGGCTAAACTCACCGCGGCATAGGAGCAATCCACCGCATTTTCAAGTCGATTCGGACTCCCGATTCTATGTTTCATCTCGTGTTCTCCATTATACACTGCACGGAGCTTTTCAATGAAGGTCATCTCTCGTCGCTGCCCCGTTTAAATGCCGTTCCGTATTCTCTCTGGGCGAACCGGAATACGAATGTGCCCAAATAACGAATATCGATTGGTGGGTGATTTCGAATTACTTGGGGGGATAGCCACAAAAAGACAACCTCGAAAGGCTTAAAGTCTTTGGGTGGGTTCGAACCACATATTCTCCCGGAAATTATGGCATACGCTCGAGGGATCCACTGCTCGGGAGTGAGTTCGTTGCTCCTCAAAGGCTTATTGACCCGCCTTTGAGCTGGAATAGGTGCCGCACAAACGGTCTATCGTCGTTTTCAGCTCGTTACTCGTACGGCGAGACCGAGGATGAACACGCAGAGTAACTATCGGCCCTACCTGCTGCGCCGTTTCACCATCCGGATCACTGTCACCCTCTCCTCCAATGTAGGAATAGCTGCGGCAGGTCGAACGTTTCTACGCTCCACAGAAAACAGAAAACTGGATCATCGAGGGTCTTTTCTGTGGCAGGAAAAACGGCGCCGAGTTCAAATACTTCGCAGCGTCAATTAGTTTGTCAAATGGAACCCGCACGGCCCCGGCGGCACGGGAACATGATCATTCCATTTGTCCGAGTTAAATAATACTACAACGTCATTTTGCATTCGGTGAGGCTTTGGTCTGTCGTTTTACTGCATTGCATTGTTGGAAACTCATGATCGCTCCGTTTGAAAACGAGAATCATCGACAGGCAGCATGCTCGACTTTGTCTTCAACATACAGCAAATTCCGCTTCGGCGACAGCATTCCGCCGTGCATGAGCGCAAGGGCCGCGCCTGTCGGACAGGGGGCGTCAAAATATCCCAGATTGGTATTCTCTGTCTCGAGAATATAAAGGGATCGACCGGAACCCTCAATTCCCTACCTGTTTCTGTACCTCCTACCACACAAACTCCTTCAATATGAAAGCTCTCGCATCATTCCTCTCGGTGATTCCTCTTCTAGCTTTGGAGGTGCGTATCTACGACCTAGCATGTTGCGGAGTTTAGGTAACGACCTCTGGAGTCAGGTCTTTGCCCAGAATTATAATACTACTACGCCTTGCTCGAATGCCACCACTACTACCAGCTATACCCCTACAACAATTCTGACCTCATCCTACACTATTTCGACGCCTTGCTCAAACGTGACTACTACCACCATTTATACTCCTACGGCTACTCCAACGTCCTCGGCCATTTCCACTCCTTGCTCCAACGACACCACCACCATCTACACTACTACGATTTTAACATCCTCTTCAGTTTCGACGACCAGTTCGGCGTCAGAAATCATTCCCACCGGACCGGCAGGCGTTCAGTGCCCCTGCGCCTCCGATGCCGTACCTCTGTATCGAGACTATAACCCCACAATTATCGATCATTTCTATACAGTTGAGGCAATCACTACTGTCGCCGTCAAAAACTAACCCCGCATTCAGATTAATCTCGCCGAATCGCAGAACGCCGTCGCTAATCTACAGTATAATGCGGAGGGCGTTAGCATGCGCGTCTTCAGCACGCAGGTTCCTGGCTCCGTACGCTTCTATCGGCTTTATTCGGCCGCTGCAACGGACCATTTTTACACGACCAACCCGACGGAGGCGGCAGATGCGACGGGCTATGCGATTGAGGATATGCTGATGTACATCTATCCTACGCAGATGTGCGGGACTGTCCCGATCTACCGCCTCTATTACAGCGCTGGGACAGACCATTTCTACACGCTCAGCGCAGCAGAGCGCGACTCGGCGGAGGCGGGTACTTACACGTACGAGGGGATTGCGGGGTATGCGTTCGATTCCACTGCGACCAACATTCCGTACTGCAAATAAAGCGCAACCTCGCCTAGCACGATATTTTCTAGGTACAACTTTGAATATTGTTCTCAGCCATATTTACATTCGATTTAATAAATTCCATCGCTTCTCATGATCATTCATATCCGCAGCAAGGTGCCTAAAATGTGGGGGTCGCGTGGATTGTATTGAAATTAACACCTAGGGTTGTGTTTGGATCGGAAATACTCGGACGGATGGGACGTTTCCTCACAGCATGATTCTACCTAAGTACTGCGATAAGCCGGAGAATAGGCCTCGTGGAATACCCACGAAACTTCGCTTCCCGCGCGTTTCAATGGACAACATGTGGTTCAAATCGAAGGCATGCTTGGACCCAACTGTTCTTTACTCGATGTGGTTCCCCCTGAGTTTACCGAATGAGAGATCCCGTGGTTCATTTGAAAATATCGGACAGCGATCCACGTTCTGCCTGCCGGATGAACCCGCTTAAACAGCGGGACTTGTCAGAGGACAAGTCTTCGTGGAGCAAAAGGGAACTCGTTCTCATACCATATTTCTTCCACACGTTTGAAAGAAAGTCGATGGTTCGAATCCACCCGAAGACGTTCCTGAACATCGTGATATATTTTTGGAATTGTCTTGCTTCTCAAGTGTTTGTCAAGTGTACTTTTTTCTCGATGTGCGTGTAGTCAATTTCCCAGTGATGAGAATACATCTGCGGTGCGTATCAAATATTCTCGATAACTCTATTTTACCACTGTGGCCCCCTGCGATGGTTTTGAGCACTCTCGCCAACTGCTGACAAAAATGAGAGTTTACTGCCAGAACCTGAAAATCGGGCTCTCTAAGACCCGTACCTTACGGTAGCGGGAATTAGATGGAAAGGGTGGTATATAATATTCACGGAAGTGACGAAGACTTGTGATAACAGTATGGACGCCCAAAGCCGCCTACGATTCAGACAGTTGGACGCGGAAGGTGTGAGAAATCAATATCCTCTACAGCGTCAAAGTCTCCGATTGAATCCGACCCACCAAAATTCCCACAGTAACCATTCCGTAGGTAAAGTAATCCAGGACGGCTTCTGAAACTACCTGTATAATGAATACGGCCTGGAAGAAATCGTCTTGGTTAAAGGCTGAACAAAAAACTTACGACGATCTTGTATGTCCTCGGGTAGATTTTACCCTCCCTCACTCTACACGAGAGCTTCCCGGGGTCGTCGAGATCCGGCATACGTTGGCGAAACTCAAGCAATGGCCTCGGGACGCACGACTAAAAAGAATGTTGGACATTTGCTCCAATCAAGTCTTCAGGCGGAGTCGAACCCCTAGAGATGCGTGGAACTACGCATAATAGAGATGCGATTTGCACTGATCCATGAAGACTTACCTACGAGGTGTGGAACTTGAACAGGCAGTCGAAATTATCGATGGGTGAACCAGGGTGAACACACATTTAGACTGGAATTTCTTTGACAGGTTTGTCGAGATCCTGCCTATGTTGGCGAAACTCACCGAGTGGCCTCGTCCATGCAGGATCAAAAAGGTTATTTCACGTTCGTTCAATTAAGTCTCCAGGCGGAGTCGAACCGCCGACACTCCTAGAGATGCATGGAACTGCGCTAAATAGAGATGCGATTTGTATTGATCCATGAAGACTTACCTGCGAGGTGTGGAACTTGAACAGGTAGTTAAAATTATCAATGGGTGAACCGGCGCGAACACCCACCTAGACTGGAATTTCTTGGGCTCCCGTGCAACGTGCCGGCCGTCGGAGTTGGTGAACTCCTGCGCCGCGAATCGACGGCTCCTATATATGTAACCCTTGACCGGAGGATAAAATATTATCACGAGAAAGGGTCCCGCATATCCTTCTGCACCGGAGAAGTCCAGTAAGATCTGTGGGGTTTAAGAAGGTTTCGAATTAGAGCTTACAAGTCTTCGTGGAGTAATCTAGAAACTCAATCCCGCCTTTTTGCGTCGTGCTTTGTAACTAGGTTGTAAGGGAGAGTTGGCGGTTCGATCCCGCCCGAAGACATGATAGGGGATGCAGTCTCACATTTTTCTTTCTACGGACACTGTGAGGGAGCTCGGGCAACTAAATTGGCCGGACTGGATGAGATACGAATGGAAGATAAGGTACCGCCTGTGGTAACCAAGACCCAAGGCAGCCAAATTCAAGGTGGAATCCTTGAGCGGATTGCCAAAAATCTTCTCTGCACTCACTGGCTCGCGTGTGAGGTGAGAATGCGCGTCCGCAGGACGGCACGCGAAGGAGGAATCGTGGCGATCTGCGCTACGGTAAGATACGCGACGCAAAGACAGCACAGAATGATAAAAGTACACCCCGGGGATGCGTCCACTGCGTCCAGGACGACCCCAAGAGCACCGGAATACACAGCGTGTCCAGACGAACTTCAAAATTCAAAAAAAATGCGCAGACGACACCTGGGTCCAATCAGACGAGCATAGTAGAATGCCACGCAGGGAACTGTCCGGTGTTCGATACAAGTGGATATAGTAACGCGCACTCAGTGACTCACGGTGAAACTAACATTTATGTAAGCACGCGTGTGCCAGGGCCGATCTTGCTCCCAGAGTCAAGGATACAAAGTCGTCGAAAAACCATGTTTGGGAGCGGAATTCTCGGGAATGGTGTGTTGAAAGGGAAGCATATCAATGAGAGAGGTCGGAGTGCACTCGTTGGCCTCGAGGAGGAGCTTAAACCATTTGAACACAAGGGATACGGCAGAGACATAAGATGCGGCACCATGAGGCCCGGAGGATAACTGAGGAACACGGCCTGCCGCGAGAAAGCGGACGTACGAGCAACGTGCCACACGTGGTGCGATACGAGGCCGGTGAGACAGAACTGCCGCTGTTGGTCCGGGTCGAGGAGGAAACTGCAGTGAAGACGACAAGGCGACAGTCTCGGGCCCTAGATTGAATCGGATAGAATTAGAGTAAAGCAGTCCGGCAGAGACACGCTTTGTGCTACAGGACCTGGACGCCAGCAGGAAGGGAAAAATGTCCAGCAACGCCGAAACATGTTGGTGCAGCAACTCCGTTGGTGATTACGTGGTCTTTGTCGATATTGCTGCTTGAGAGAACGCGGTAAAGGTGAGGAAGCGAGCAGACACAATAATTTCACGAGGGAATGGGAGTAAACTGGTGAGGAGAGGCAAGAGGACAGCGATTCGCTAAGCGAGCCCACTATCAACAGCACGTGCCACAGGGCACCTTCCATATCGGGTTGTTGCCGACACAAACAAAGCGCCGCATCGACCACCTCTGTGACGCGTCCCGCCCGACGTGCGACGCGCCCACGGGCTCGTCGGCACTCCTACAGCTTGATAGGGAGTAGCCACCACGCTTGCTAGTCAAGGAAGTCCTCCCAACCAAGCCACGCAGCGCAGCAACCGTGAGCTCCCGACAAACCACTGCACACAGGGTGCGGCACCTGGTGTAAATACTGTCTATAACACCTCTTCTACGCACATGAATGAATCATGTCCCTCCCACTATACCCAGAATGTTGTGTTTTAAGGCTACAAACGCGCCCGTGTACAAACGTCCCCATCAAGTGTCCGGCTGCCGACTGACCAATTTCACTGGAAGTTGTACTTCCAGCAGCATCGAGGACAGACACCCTCAATGGAGACTAATTATATCCCACGACTTCCTTTCCGCCATTCAGATCAGCTCTAATACTGAGCAACAGGCCCTCGGAATTCCCCACGACGGTGTCATTGACATTCCGGCGACTGCACCACCCAATCCCTCTTTTCTTCCTTAGAGTCGCGGCCAGAAGCTGCCCGCATCGAGCCCTCCGAGTTCGCCCAGCCGCAGAGCCAACAAGGAGAACGACGCATCGAACTCCATCGACTCATACCCGCCAAAGATTCGGAAGGTCATTTCGAAGTTACCACTCGCCCCAGCCCTCCAGAAAAATTCTCGTGTAAAGTAGAAGATATAAAGATGACATATAAATATTTTTGTACTTTTCTGCTCCATGCACGGCGCATACAATCCGAGCGAACTCGTCGCGGCTTCCCGTGTGAGAGCGACCCGATATGGAAGGTGCCCTGTGGCACGTGCTGTTGATAGTGGGCTCGCTTAGCGAATCGCTGTCCTCTTGAGGAGAGGTGATGGTCGTAGTGATGAAGGTGGTAGGCCGGCGAGCGGCGGGTCACAAACAGAATTATTTTTAAGGGCTCTGATATTTTATCAGGAGCAGATCTTCATTTTCAGAGCAGACTCAGTACGCCCAATCCTAAGTACTAACTTCTAAGTACTAGTTTATAAGCAGGTTCTCATCCTTTCAGGATTATCTTGATTTTTAAGGTTGAAGAAATTTTGGTGCCCGTGTGGCGAGCCCTGGATCGTCAAGGGTGTGCGACCCTCCTCCGGAAACAGATCACCTTTGCCGACGGCGATCTGATTTCTTTGGCGGGCACGAACATATTTTGATTGCACACGGCCTGAACGGCAGCTCCGTTGAAATCATTAAAAAAATTCGTAGTCCAGAAATGGGACTACTAGTAGCAGAGTCTCATTTCATGATAGCAGCGGAGGACTCGGGATCTTGGAAGTAAGACGCGCTCAGATTTCAGGCTGCTCGACGAGAAAGGCTTGATAAGTTTCAGACTCCGAAGATTAGTAATATAGTCTAGACCTAAATGGACCCAAAACGGGTTATGTAATTTGGCGACATTTTCGGTCTCCATAGCACAAACTATTCTGTTTGTGAATGACGGGAGAAGAGGCGGCAACGCGGGCCGACGCGTGTGAACCATTCGGCAAATAGCCGAGGTCCCGGATCAATCCCTTTTGCTCCCGAACGGCGTTATTTCCATGGCGAAAACTCGAACCCGCGGATCAGCACGAAGAGAAGGGCTTTCTGCTCCGCGAGGGAGAACCGGAATCCAATGCAATGGCACCTGAGTCTGGGTGGATGATTGATCACCAGCCGCTGATTAGCGTTGTACCGCGATGCACGAAATCCCCTACCTAGCGACCTGATTTCATGCATCACTTCACCTTTTAGCTATATGTCCCCTACCCAGCAGGGCTATCCTCCCGACGCTGCCCCACACAACGACGAGGCCTTGACTATATTTGGTTGCCGGAACCCCATTAGGAACACGGTGTCGAAGACGTCGTCGACGTCGTCGCCCACGATGAGCACGTCACAGTCATGTAAAATTCGCAGAAAATACAATAAAAATACAATAAAATCAGGGCGTGAGGCGGAAGGTCTAGTCCAATTCGTCGTAGGAGCGCACAACTGGTCGCCGTGCCACCTCAGGCACAGGCTCCAACTCTTCCCCCTCGCTTCCTACCGCCTCATCCGCACCCGTTTCCTTCTCCTTCTCCTTCTCCTCCTCGTTCTCCTTCTCCTTCTCCTTCCCCTTCCCCTTCGCCGGTATCCATACCTCCCCTTCCCTCCCCTTCTGAATGCGGTTGGCGAGCTCCGCCTTCGTCCACTGCGCTGCGAAGTGGCGACCCAGCTCGGCCTGCAGCCAGGACTGCCGGCGTGCGTATGCGTCCTCCCCCTCCGCTTGTGGGCCCTCCTCTAAGCCTCGCCTCCCCACCTGCCCCTC